TTTTGCAGCCAGTCATTGAATAATGTCACAACACATTCAGGAAAGTTCATCAAGGACAGCAGTAGTTTTCCAGCTGTACAGTTCTGTATTAGTGACTGATGTTTAACTGTATAATGGTTTTGATTACGACACACTGTTATGTTCTGCTCCTGCTGCCACCATAGCCCAGAGGGAATTTGCATGTGAACATGATATTTCATCTCGGTTTTCTGTATAAACAATTGGGTTTTAATAAATTCACTGAAAACCAAGTATTAAAATAAACCAACTGCACGGTGATCACTGGGGATAACTATAAACTGCGCTTTTTGGTGGTTCCTGAATACTGGCGGACGTTGAAAGACACGTGTGACGGCTCTCATTGGTCCTTCAGGCCTTGTTTTAGGAAAGCCTGTTATGCTTCTGTGTCTGAATGCTACGAACAAACAGCTGTCAATCCACCTTGTCAACAGGGCATTTTCCTGGCGGTAAGGGGAGCTGAGCAGGAGTCTGTATGGTGAGAATGTGTATCAGATGCTCCAGAACCCGCTCAGATGCACTGGAGGTGAAGTGAAGGACAATACCCCAATGTTTGACTTTTGTCAGAGCAACGTTGGTTGGTCGGGTTTTCAAGTTCTGCGACTGTTGCAAACCTCACGGTGCTCACTTGTAGTTTTTCCATCTCCCTCCTTGATTCTTGCAGCGTGCACTATTTAGGGCCACCTTTAAAGCACATTTAGAAAATTTAGATGCTGAAGTCAGCTACTGTACATTCTGTACAGTACAGACCGGAATAAACATGTAGCATGTTTGATCAGGTTTCTGCACCTGCTTCCTATCTGCTTTTATTATCCCAAATAATGAAATTTAACCTCAAATGATTAGGGTGCTGCTATTTCCGAGACTATATCCAACACCATCATCCAGTAGAGAGGCCACAGTCAGCTCACACCCTCCTGCTTTGCATTCTGAGATCTGAAGATAACATAACCACCAGCAGTGTTCTTTCTGGGGTCTGTCTGTCCAAGACTCTTGGCATTCATTTGGAATTATTCATGCCCAAACCTCAAGATCTACTCAAGAGATCTTCAGCCTTTATTTAACTTCTATTTTTCTTGCAGAAAAGGTATCTGTCTTGTGTTGGTATTGATGACTAAGGGAAGACTAGTGCTACTCCAACAGGTCTATTGCTACAGGAGTTCTGTAAAGTAATAAGCAAGTAGCCTGCAATCACCTCTTTCTTTACCCACCACATCCTCAAAGTCGCCTACATTACCTACAGAGTTTGTCTTTTCATTACTTTTAATTTTAGAAATTGTCAGCAGAAATAGAGAAGCACAAAATGCATTTATATTCATGGTGCTCTACAAAGCTTCCCAGCCTTTAGGATTCCTGCATGCAGAATTCTGCGCGTCTCCTACTTTGGGGATTTTGTCACATATTGCATCCCATGGTTGGGCACGTAGCAGCTTCAGAGGCTGGACTGGATTCAATTCTATCCTGTTTGACAAATAATTGCAATGACAGATATTGATTCTTCTCACTTTGCTGATTTTATTTAAACTGCCTGTTGGTTTAAACGCTCTGAGAGATTTTTATAAAAGAAATGCTTTTCACATGCACAGTAGTTTTCCTGAAGTTTTAGGTAATTATCAGACAGACATATATTTACAATTTTGAAGTCTGTTTGCTAAGTATCTTTAAAGTAGTCTTCCTCTTGTGAAAATGAAGTAATTCCATGGAGCAATGAATTTGATCAACAGTGGTAGGGCTCATAGTATAACATATATAGCGGTATTCTGGTAAGTGGTGGTAAACTGTCACCTCCTCTATAACCTTTGCCCAGATAGTTTAACTAGTTTCAGGAGAAATGCTGCAAGAGAGAATGGCTTTTAGACTATCAAGGCACTTTTGCCCGTTGCACAGTGCCTACTTCACCAGTAAAAACCAGCCTGCTGCTGAAGGTTTCAGCAAAACACCCTCTTGCACTGAGAGAAGACCTCACCAAGGGAGGCCAGGAGACGAACCTGTGGCTGTGCCTACGCTACAGACAGCAGAAACAAACCTGCATTGTGCTAAGTGCAGCTGTCTCTTAAATCATATCCCATGACTGTCTATGCTAACGGGCACCTTTGGGTAAAAAAGATGGTGTTAATAAAACCTCTGCTCTGCTTTCCTTGGAGCAGCCACTTCTGGCACTCAAAGCAGCTCTCTACTTCCATCCGCACACACCTTCAGCCTGCAGCCAAGAGCAGCTCCCTGCAATTTATTAAATTAGCTCTTTGAAAGAACCCCTTAAATACA